GAGTTTCTCGACTGTTCGTTGGATAAACCAAAAAGCTAAGTAAAAACCGAGGAAGACGTGTCCTTTATACGCGTCATAATAGTTTGAAGACAAATGTTGTATTTCGATGATCTACATTTGCAGGCTAATTATAACATTAAAAAGGCGAAGCTGTTAGAAAGATTCTCTTAATTCGTTCTGTGTTTCGAAAGCAGAAGTCGAGAAAGAGGCTGCTGCATGTTAAATTTAAGCTAGCAAGGGTATCGAAAAGGAACCGGTAGATAAATTTAGACAAGCCGAGATACCAGAACTGACTCCGTTTGTTCGTGGATTTTCAGAATTGAACGAAACATGGGAAGAGAAATTGAAGCGAACAGAGCTGATTCGTCTGCAGCGGGAGGCAGTGTTCGCCGAAATGGGAGTCGCCGTGAAAGAAGATGGCGTCACCGTTGGTGTCTTCTCCCCGAAGAAAACTCCCCACTTGGTGAACCTGAACGAGGATCCCCTTATGTCGGAGTGTTTGATTTATTATATCAAGGACGGATTCACGCGTATCGGTAGCGCTGAAGCCAACATACCACAAGACATCCAACTCTGCGGCCCGCATATATTGAGCGAGCACTGTGTCTTCGAGAATCATGATAGCATCATTACCCTAATGCCGAAGAAGGGAGCTTTGATTTACGTGAATGGACGAGAGATCACCGAACCAGTTATTCTTAAGACCGGATCTCGCGTTATCTTAGGGAAGAATCACGTGTTTAGATTCAACCACCCCGAACAAGGTATCTTTTTGTAGCCATATTGGACAGCGATAGCTGCTCAGTAGAAGTGGAAGATTGACAAACGTTTATTCAATGTGCAGTCCGTGAACGACGGGAGAAAAACTCGCCTGCGGAAACACCTGGTAATGGAGAAACCGTGGACTGGAATTTCGCACAGATTGAGTTGTTGGAGAAGCAAGGAATTGACCTCAAAGCTGAAATGGAAAAGAGGCTGTTGGTGCTTGAGGAACAATTCCGTAAAGAGAAAGAGGAAGCTGATCAGCTGTTCGAAGAACAGAGAAAGGTGTGTGGTATATTTAAATAAAATTGTTGAATACAATTAAAATCTGTGAAATATGTATATTGCGTAAAGACTGACACACGAATGTTCTTATCGTTTACAGAGTTACGAAGCCCGGATAGATGCGTTACAAAGACAAGTGGAGGAGCAGAGTATGACAATGTCTATGTACAGCAGTTACACTCCCGAAGACTTCAACAATATTGAGGAGGATATCTTCGGTGAGTAGATATTACAAATGGTCCCTGAATTTTCACAGTATTAAATTCAGTTCTGTAAAGTGAATTGCATCTTTGATCCTTTATAATTAGCAAAATACACATGAGCAGAGCTGCTGCTATTATTTCAACGGTAATTCTTTTATACAGCTCTGCATGTGAACAAGCTACAATCTTGTCTAGATTGTACTACATCTTCGTTAAAAGTGTCAGAATTTGTACTGGGTACTCGTAAATATTGTTCGCCTAATCGAATGCGTTTGAATAGAACTTGAAAATGAGATCCTTTTAAGTACGTGAAGTGAAAGTAAGTAGTAATGAATGTCACCACTACAAATTCTACAGCTGTACGGATCTATGTGAGACATGATCAGATGGTGGTATGTAGAGTTTTTTATCTTTCTGCGATGCACGCATGTGATTATGTGATTACGATTTTTAAATATTGTTTTCAATCGTTTCGTATATATCGAGGCCCTGAGGTTTCATTTGACAACCTGAACAGTGCATCATCTGATTGTGAACAGAAGGCTGTGTGGCCCCTTTTAACGAAGGAATAAATATCCACCAAATGCTTGGCTTTTCTGACTGTTTTGCCTGGTAATGGCTTGCATTTCAGTCAACCCCTTGTTTGACGCAGAGAGCAACTGGACCGAGAGAGAGTTCCAACTGGCCGCTTGGGCTTTCCGCAAGTGGAAGTATCATCAATTCACAAGTCTTCGAGATGATCTCTGGGGCAACGCGATATTCCTCAAAGAGGCTAACGCTATATCTGTCGAACTCAAAAAGAAGGTACATCCGTGGTTTATTCCCGGGAATCAAGTTCTGACATGACTCTTCCTTATTTTGAGTCATCAACATTTGCATCTTCCACCATACGTTTCAACTTTTCTTTCGTTACAAGCACTCAATCATTAAGTATTATTTAATTGGCACTGCGAATTTGTTATAAAAATTTTGCTAAATTTCATGCAACTGAAAAGTTTTCTTTCTTATATTTTTCACGACTCACAGAAGCATATAGATTTGTCAAATACGATTTTTGAACATTGCATAAGATTAATACCACAAAACGAATCAATAGGTACCCCCTTTTTGATGTTCAGTAAATTAACTTATGTGTTACTATAGGCAGATCTTCATCCTCCCAAGTGTCCATACGTTTTACTGTATTTGATACATTGTTAACAATTTTTTTTTTCTTTTTTTTTCGAATTAATTTGTTTTGTAATCTCATAACCCAAAGATTACTTCCATAATGATTTATCATTCTATTAAATAATTCCATTTCTTTTATTTTGTCACATTTATACATTTACATTAATTTTACATCTATTTCAGTGACTGAAATTAATCGAATCAGAACTAACTTCCATTTGTTTTTCTCCACTTATGAAATGTCCATTGTAGGTGCAATTCCAGTTCACTTTGCTCACGGATACTCTTTATTCGCCGCTCCCTCCGGATCTCTTGCCAGTCATGGACGAAGACGAAGAAGAAGAGCGACCGTTCCCTCGCACGATAGTCGCTGTAGAAGTACAAGATACAAAGAATGGAGCGACTCATTATTGGACACTCGATAAACTCAGGTTTGTTCTCAGTACACAGCGTTTCATGTTCCAATTATGCTTTATATCATTCAATACCCATAGATCAAGGGTGAGTTACTTAACATCAATCGCAAATAAGTATCTGTTCAATGCAATGAAGCATATATTAAATATCTCTTGGTATGTACTCTCCTGATCTTTTAAAGAGCACATTTCGTCAAGTAGATATCCCTTCAATCGTCCATCTTCTTCTTTCTTTAATCGAAAAAAAAAAAATATTATATCATCCTCATATTTATGCAAGACACGCGGGGACAGATATTGTATTACAAACATGAAAGTAAAAATGTGAAAGCTAACACAGTACACGAATGTTTATAATGACAACTTGCTAAGGATGTTTGGGTATTTTAACCGTTCTGAGTGCCACGGGTCTTTGAGAAAGATCAGAAAATAAATAATTAAAAGGAAAACAAATAAATAGACTCAATTTGATCGTACAAACCGATAGGCTCGCACTTTTGGGCAGTATAAGCGCGATCACGTCGCTTGGCACTCAAACGGTTAAAGGGATACTTGTAAAGTATGATCAATGATTAAAAACATCTTTGAATCGCAATGTCGGTCCTGTATACTTCACTTTCGATTTACCAAATGAAAATTTCATAACTAAATTTCTTATACAGCTATATATGACCGCGGTAAGAGCGCGGATATACGCGAGCCTAATATCGTGGCTTTAATCAGATCGTGCTTAAATGAAAATGCACAGGGACGCTCACGCAAGTAATACGTGTTAACTTATAGACAGCGCTTGGAGCTGATGCGACACGTGTACAACGAGGACTCGAGCCCCAGCACCCCGGAGGCCAAAGAGGATATTTTCCAATGTCTTACCGTCTACTCTAATCCGAAGTTCTCGCTCGCAAATCTTTTGCCTTCGAGGTTGGTGCTCGAACGCGCGAGGCTCTATCCTTCTTATCGCCACACGCTTAGTACATTCATTCTTAAACTTCAATCGACGCAGACTTCGAATATATATTTATTTTTTTCTACCATTTCTCATCGTCTAAGTACATACAGGACGCGTTCTATTTTAATCTTTTCACGCGATCAAAGCTCCCAATGATCGTGTGGAAACAATTAAAATGGGACATCCTGTGTGTATACACTATCCCGATTCAAAACGATCTCCTTTCAGAGAAATACATTGCTTTGCAACTGTGCTGAGCTCAATGAGATATTGATGGGAGGACTTCTTGCATGGCCAAGCCAATGTTTCCAGCCTTTGGCGTTTGACAGTCAGAATGGAATTAACCCTTCTGAATTATTGAAGTAGAATTCAATATGCGAAGAAGCATATCTAGCGATGCTTTAGCAAACGAATGGCATACTTCGTGAAGTTAAAGAAATTTGATAAGAATAAAATGAAAAGTAGTAGGATGTCCTTGAAGGGTTTAACTCCTGTATATGTTTCAACTGTGTCTCGCTGAACACGTGCGCTCCTAGTGATTGAAGTTTCGTCACATTTTTGCTTTGTGACTTCATTGTGCACATGCCACTGTACACTGCCAAAAAAAATTACACGGATTCTAATGATTTGAACAAGTACAATGATCACGTAGAATATGTTCTTCAACAGCTTAGACAATGTACACTACTATACTATATTCTTCAACAGTATTCTCTACCTTTCTTTGTATAAAAATACAGGGACAAGAAAAGTGTTCGATTAACCGATCGTTTTAACTTTATACCTTTCGACTCGGTGTTAATAATTACCGTGAGAGAGGTTCTGAACGAAAACCGAATATGTCCCTTTATTTGAGTGTACACATTCTACAAATCGTTTCTATTGAATTTCTAAATATCTCTGATTACGCATCACGCACACAATATTCTTCAAGAAGTAAATGTTGTATACAGAGTGTCCTTCACTGTGCTTTTTGACAACGTCTGACTCTGTCTTGGCAAACCGTTGGCACACTTCATAATTTAATGTACATAAAAGTTGTTTCCATTTTTGCGCAGACAAAGGCTCGAGCTGATGCGGGAAATGTATCACAATGAAGCGGAACTGTCACCCACGTCTCCAGATTTCAATATCGAATCCATCACCGGAGGCGATCCGTTCTATGATCGTTTCCCATGGTTCCGAATGGTTGGAAGGTAAAAAAAAAATATCTGAATCTGGAAACGGCGAAGTGTTCTAAAAACTAATGCTAATTATGAAAAGCGTATATATTTATACATTAGAACCACGTTAAATAAAATAAACATCCCTCGACAAATTGCTCTTCTCCCCACAGGTCCTTCGTATATCTGAGCAATCTTATGTATCCTGTGCCACTGATTCACAAAGTAGCGATAGTTAACGAGAAAGGCGACGTCAAAGGCTACCTACGTGTGGCCGTCCAAGCTGTAGTTGGTACGTGATTAGTGTCTACATAGCGCTCGCTTCAGTGGTTTTGAATTATTTATTAAACTATCTTATAAAACAATCGCTGAACGTATCGTTAGAATGGAATCATTTCTCGAGCGTTATGGTGTCGCCGCCTAGTTCGAGAAATATTCCAATGTAGGATTCTCTTAACGAACCCTTTTTCCAGAAGAGGAAAACAGCGAATACTCGAGTGGCGTTAGACAGTCAGCTAGAATATCCTTCGAAGACGATCTGTTCGGTGGACATAATAACAACAAACAAAACAAACGCAATACTCTGCTAACTCAAACATTGGAGAAGAACCGACAAATCGTGTTGCACGAGGAACGCGTCGTCGAGGGTCACAACGAGCAAAAGGACGTGAAAGATGAGGATGATATCGGCGACGCCGACAGTGGCAAAGGGGACAGTTCTGTTTCCAGCGACATGAAGGAAGAAGATTTACCTGACCATTTACAACCTGGCTCTGAATTTACATTCAGGGTAACTGTACTGCAGGCGATAGGCATCTCTACGGAATATGCTGACATCTTCTGTCAATTCAAGTGCGTATCAATCACAGTCATGGGAGCACTTCAAACACTGCACCTACTAACGTACACGTGAAATTACAGTTTCTTGCATCGACACGATGAAGCCTTCTCGACGGAACCAGTGAAGAATACAGGAAAGGGAAATTCGCCTGGCTTTTATCACGTGCAGAATGTAAGTTTACGAGAACGCTAAACCAGAGAATATTATTGCTGTGCACTGTGATACTCGTACAGATTTGTCTAACATTATATAAGATCACATATCGATCAGCTCGCTCTTAGGGATTGAGGTAATCTCGTATAGGTTGTAATAGATTTTGCAGAGTATCATCATGTTTAGCAGTAAATAAACGCTACTACTCAATATCATATAATCAACATTACCTTACTTACTTAGATCACTGTGACGGTAACGAAATCATTCTTGGAGTACCTTAAGACCCAGCCAATCGTGTTCGAGGTATTTGGACATTACCAACAGCATCCTTTGCATAAAGATGCCAAATTGGAGTAGTGAGTATTAAACTGTTTCATAATGATTTTTTTATACAGAGAACATTGAATAATTGCAATATCGGAGGCCTCCTCCTAGTTGCAACATCGTTATCCTCATTCTTCTAACATACCATAGCGCTCGACGATCGGCCGCGGTTGAAGGGTGCAACATGATCCAACTATTATCAAACTCGACGGTTTCAACGTCTCTTTCGTTTCTATTCGCAATCCTTTTCTATATCCGCAGCTTCAATCGCTTATAATACAAACAATTATGATCGTAATTCTATCTTGTTCAGTGTCATTTTAATTAGAGAAACATAACAAACATGATGGTGAAAGTTGCATTCATCAAAAGTCGAATATAAAAAGGTCTGATTCTTGATTTAAAAATCATAAGCTTATCGCGAGCCTTTAATGTTGCCGAACGCCTCAACCCTCGATCTATCTCTTTCCTTCACTCGTGTTGTCCTTTTCTACGTCCGCCGTGCTAAAATCTTCATCTCTTAGGGTGGGTTCGAGATTCTATCTCTTCATAATTGCAACCTTCCGGCCCCCATGGAGTGTTGCAATGATCCAATGTTCACTGTAATTTTTTTTTTCTTCTTTAGACTAAACTGGACAAACATTGAATGAACCCCACCTCCTTTTTTTTTCTTTTCTTCTTTTTATCGCCTGCATTCTGGCGACGACCTTTACTTTAGCATTCATCCCAACAGCGTAAGACAGCCACCGAAGAGGATGTTACCGCCGTCTATACCGATCAGTCAACCGGTACGCTCGCCAAAGTTTGGAAGTGTGCTGCCATCGCCTAGCACGTCTCACGTGCACGCTAAATACGACGTGTTGGTTTGGTTCGAGATTTGCGAACTCGCGCCGAACGGCGAGTACGTGCCATCGGTCGTTGACCATAGCGACGATTTGCCGTGTCGTGGACTTTTCCTTCTTCACCAGGGAATCCAGCGTCGCATCCGAATCACTATTGTTCATGAGCCGGCATCTGAATTACGTTGGAAAGATATAAGGGAGTTGGTAGTCGGACGCATTAGAAACACACCGCAGCCAGAGGAGGAAGATAACGATTCCTCTGTGCTCTCGTTGGGTCTATTCCCTGGCGAATATTTAGAAGTACCTGGGGACGACAGATGCATGTTCAGATTTGAGGCAGCTTGGGACAGCTCTCTTCATAATTCAGCTTTGCTTAATAGAGTCACAGCCTACGGCGAACAAATCTTCATGACCATTTCCGCATACCTTGAAGTATGTTTGTTGTCGTTGCATTATGTTACAACGAACAAGCGTAATTCTATATTTTCATTCTCACCGATTTTTAGTTGGAGAATTGTGGCAGACCAGCTATTATCACTAAAGATCTGAGTATGATCATTTATGGTAGAGATGCCAGGGTAGGACCACGATCTTTGAAGCATTTGTTCAGTGGAAGTTATCGTAATCAGGAGGCTAATAGGCTTAGCGGTGTCTACGAATTGGTGTTGCGTCGTTCTTCGGAAGCAGGTAGCCCAGGTTTGTCTTGTCTACCCTTAGCGTAGTCCCCACCCCCTCAATCCTCTCCTTTCTTATTGACATACTGGTCACGTATATTTTGTAGATTATTTTAAACGCAACGATTATACTTTTTAATTGCTTAAAGGTATATATTGCGAACTTAGACATTTGTTCGAATGATGTTTCTTTTTTATTATTTTACAGAGAAATAATGTTTTTAAAAAACGTGGAATATTCGATGTTCTTCCCATTCAGTACCTACTCCTCTTTTATAATTAATTTTCCAGGCGTGCAAAGGCGTCAACGACGCGTGCTGGACACCAGCTCTACGTATGTCAGAGGAGAAGAGAATCTTCATGGATGGAGACCTCGAGGAGATAGTCTAATATTTGATCACCAATGGGAATTGGAGAAATTAACCAGATTAGAAGAAGTGGAGAGGGTTAGATACATGTTGCTATTATGGGACAAGCTTTGCATTGACACTGCTCCGTTCTGCAATAAAACGCCGCACGATTTCACAAAAGGCGAGAAGGTAATGTGTTATTATCAATGCGATGGCTATACACCTATTCGTTAATATTATGTTTTTATATAATTATTTACACTGCAGGAAGTTTGTAACATGATGGCGAAAGCGACGAACGAACCACATGCTAGCCCTGTGAAACTTAAACGTTCAACAAGTAAAGATGTTAACGAACACTACGAAATGACCGAAAAAGAGAAAGAATTAGCCTTGAAATATATAAAACTAATTCAAGGTCGAATCCCAAGTAAAGAACCTATTCTACTCTCTGACGTTTCACCTGGCGAAGACACTATGGCTGATATGTCGGCATCCATGATGTCTTCCGTGATATCGTCCTCGTCCCAAGAGTCAGTATACGCGAGAACTAGTGATTTCTTAGAGCAGGTAACCCTCCCTGCATGCCTGAGTGCTCCTGCTAGTAGCGGTTGTCCACGCTTCGTCGCATCGTATTACCTTGATAGCAAAAGCTACATACTGTTTTCGAGATTCAAAAAAAAGCGATGCTCTCTTTCTTCATTCAGTGTTACATCGGCGTTACACGAGAAACCGTGTCGAAATATTCAGGAATTAATTAAGAATCGAAAAAAAGACAGAAGGTATATCGACAACATCTTGTCTTTATCGACATCATTTAATTGATTAGAAAGAGTGAAGATAGCGAGGATTCGATTCAATTTGAACATCGAAATTTCTTGAGTGTTTTAAACGAATCAGAATCGGCTCACCTCTTTCCATACAATTCACAATGACTGTGTTTTTCTGTATATAATTAACAAAAGAAAACGCCAGATCTTGCTTTCTCGAATCGGCCGAATATCGATCATGCAATATCACTGAATAGCTTTGCTGATTCAAAATTGCGCTTTTAGCGCAGTCAGCTTCTATGAACTGCTTTATTATCTACATGACGATGACTCGAGGTGTTCGAGTCAATGACAACCGCCAGCACGATTGGACACATGGTCAGGTTGATGCTGGAGTGTTACTTGCAGGCTGCTGGTATAATTGTGTGGAGCAGGACTAAGTCGTGCATCCTTAGGTTGAGTTCACCGGAGAGGGCTAGACTACAAGAACTGCAGGACAGCATATTGGCAAGCGAGTCTACCAATCAGCCATGCACTGTCGCTCCAGCGCCCTTAGGTTCCTCCTCCCCTTCAAAAGAGAATTTAGTACTCTACGTTCCGGAAGTTGAAGAAATACGCATTAGTCCGGTTATCGCTAGGAAGGGTTACTTAAACGTTCTTGAGCATAAAACTAATGGCTGGAAAAAACGTTGGGTGGTATGTATACTTTAAATGACCAATATACTTTAAATTATAGGAATAAAGGTCACTGTACAAATCAAATTATAAGCTGACTAAAATAGTGCGAATTTATTTATACTCGCATTGTCTCCAGGCTGTACGACGGCCATATGTTCTAATCTTCCGGGAAGAAAAGGATCCTGTGGAAAGGGCTCTCATCAATTTAGCTACCGCTCAAGTTGAATATTCCGAAGATCAATTAGCTATGGTGAAAGTACCAAATACTTTCAGGTAAATCATTTAACGAGATATTTATCGACACATCATTTCTAAATTCTATGTTAAGAAAATTTCCTACCCACTGAAAACGTGAAAATGGTCTGTATATAGATATATATGTGTATGGACATATATAAATACATATTCTCTACTTTTAATTTTAGTGTTGTTACAAAACATCGAGGATACTTACTACAAACTTTAGGAGACAAAGAAGTCTACGACTGGTTATACGCTATTAACCCCCTTCTCGCTGGCCAAATCAGGTACATACATCCTTCTTTCTAATTCGGGTTAACAACAGTTTCAAAAATAATATCCAACTGTATTGTTCCTACTAAAATTACAATCTTATTTTGTTTTCAATCGGAATAAAACGTTCCCGAACCTCGGCGTAGTATGATGTTGTTGATTCTATGTTACACTATGCTTCGTGTATCATGTAAATTGATCAATCATTTACTGTACCACTGCAGGTCAAAGCTAGCGCGCAAGGGTCCGGCAGCCGCAAATCTAAATAATGCTTCGCCTGTCGGTTTAGCTCCACCGATAGATCAGCAATCGAACCAAAACAAGTGAGTGGTCGAAACGTTGGCCGAGGTAACAAGCGTCATCACGAAAGCCTCCGAGAAGATGCTGTACTGGTCTCACTCGGCCTTCGAGTCCCATGATCTCTGTAGCTTTCGATTTTCGGTAGTCTTCGATTATTAAAGTGGCTCGGAAAAGCATATCGATCGGCTACCAGCTTCGACAGCCGCCGAATAATGTCCCCGCGTCTGATTTAACGATCGTTAGCCCCCTTCACGGCTGATGATCGTATAGAAAAGACGTGGGAGGGAAAAATCACTAACTATAAACGAAAGGTAATTTTTGTCTTTCGAAAGAAATGTTACACGCGTTCGAATTGTATTTAAAGACAGAATTATTGTTTTGAAATCGCGAGCTGCCACGCACAGATCTCTCCGTTCGTTTCGTGGAACAAGATCGAAACGCTGTTAACGTTTGAGGGGACACTATGTGTGCGGCGCGAGCCCGCGAGCCTTCTCGTATTTGAATTTCTCGATATTAGTCGGTCATACAAAGCGATTCTCTTTAAGCACGGAACCGCATAGAACGAAGAGGAACGTATTTATGCCTAAATAAAACATTCCTAAGACGATCATAGAAAAGAGGCAAGAGATATACACAGATTGTAGGTATACTCATAAGAGATGTGTGCAAGGGGTTAGCAAGAAAGAGGGAAAGAAAGGGAGATAGACGAAGGGACGAAGTAGTGAGATTACGAATTTCTGCGTGTTCATGTCTGGAGATTATACACCGAGAAAGGGTGCGGATTATTTCGTACGGATTGAGTCGGTGAGCGTTGAATAATAGATAGTGTATTCGTTTACGAATTAAGTTCGCGATTGTGACCGTCATCGAAATGATCCTTTAACACCCCCCACTCTGCCTTGTTTCGCGTCCTGATAAGTTTTAAGCCTCGGATAACGAAGAGTCGATGGAAAGATTCACTTCTTCTTTCTTTTTTTATCGTGTATACCGGGTCGAATTAAATAATATTTAAAATTTTTGTTTATGTTCAACTCAGTATTCTTTGAGTGATTTCAAGTGTACAGTGAAGCTTCCGCGTTTTCTTCTTTCCCCCTTATCGACATGATTGCGTTAAGTTCCGTGTAGAGTACATTATTATCTGAACAGTAATTACCTGTCTTAATGTCGAAGATCGAAGAATTTTAATGATAAAAATTCCGAGGCAGATTATTTTCTCGGTCGTTTATAAGCGATGGTGTATACCAAAGTACGCTACGCTCCTGTTGCCGTTTTTGCTTGCTAACTGTTGTAGAATCTGATAGTTTTATTTTGTTAACTATGACATACCTATTGATGAACGAGAGACCATAATCGAATAAGTTGTATGCACTCGACGCTTAACCCTTTGAAGCAAGAATCTAGGTGAAGTAAATTGATAGGATCATCGATAATTATTTGTTGCCTTTCAGCGTGTAAATTTTTCATTTTTAATATATGTATCATCGTTCGAATTAGAAAGTATTATAATATTCGCGTTTACGTTGTATTTTTTGTAAAAAAAAAATATAGTCACATTTCCACATGTAATTGTGGTCTTCGCTATTGAGGACATTATTACAGCATAGTTGATTATTTATACTTGTAAATTGAATGTATCTACGTCATACAATTACTTTATATTACAAGATATAGCTACGATCATAAATTATTCCGTATGTGATATTTAAATGTATTATTTTACATTACTTTATTTAACATATTGTTGATCGATCACGAGTATACTCGTGTTTTCATGCACAAAATCTTGTTGACCGGCCACGAGTATACTCGTAAGTACATGCACATGCATCTATTGAAAAGTATATGCATTTATTAAAGTACAAAATTGTACAAGTTGTCGTCACAGTATTATTTATTTTGTTGGGTAGTCTTTCTTTAATTTCTTTTTTTTCTATTCAATTGTAAAAATAGTTGGTCACGCGTGTTGATTTTTACGTAAACTTAGTCGATCAGCAATATGTTTGTATAATTTATTTAAATAACTTTTATAAAAACCAAAGAGATTCAAATGTATTAGTTTAACTTATTTTATCATTGTCTTTATTCACAAATGATGATTATTCGTTAATAGAAGCTCTCTGAATAGGGAAGATAATGTTTGATTATATGAATAAGTGATGGATCATCTTACTGTGAAGAGATTAACTATCAATTTATCAAAGTTTGTTACAAAACAACTTGGGAAATATGATTATAAACAACTTACCAACTTCATTTGACTAAGAGACAAAATAAAATTTACTCTGAAAATTGGATAGTGCTTTTCTTACACCACAATAGAAAGGAAAATGCAATACTGGATAATCTTTCATCCTTCGAAGAAGAATATCCTACCTAAGTTTCTTTTATTAGAAACAGAACATAATACCGACGATTAAACGTTATTGTTCAAATTTCATAATGTATTAAAGAAACTTTACATCTTATGTACACCAGAGATGGGAAAATCTTGTATAAAATAAATACTGTAAGAGACTAGCAATAGAAGATATAAGGAAAATAGCGCATTTTTCACGAGTATTCATGGCATCTTCGAACAAGACGCATTCAAATCTGAACTGAAGAATGTAAATTGCGGACTGCATTTATTCCTATTTTCAGAAATAGTTTATTATATATTTACAGAATAAATACAACAGACATAGGATTAAAACGAAGAATTGTAAGATGCATTTTTACGCAATAAGCGAAACGTGACGCGTGCATAATCAATTAATTTTCCTTGTTTTAATCGAGAAGAAAGCGCCATAAATTCTACAAGGCTGTAATATTTACGGGCACATACAATATTTGTAGGTATTACTTATGGTATATAGTAATCAAATTTTAATCTCATTATTTACAAATACTTCATTACAATGTAATGTAAAAAATTTATGCATGTAAGTAAAACGAAGCTATGCACAGTAATAACCATTGCTTCAGGGGGTTAAAGTATTCGTTTATAATGTCGTAAAAACAATGAAGAA